TATTTCCTCAATCAGTCAAACCCAGAAATCAAAAACTAACAACAAGCTTCAATGATTCAAAACCAAAAAATAGTGAAAAGGGTTATCAAGAAAAACAAAGGGTTAACCTTGGATCGTAGAACTAGCACGAGAAAGGTCCTTAGAACCAGCACAAAATTCCCCATTCTCAAGCTTACGAGAAGAAACCCTCCTTTTAATGATCCTTTTTCTCCTCAAAATCTTCCTTTTCTTCTTCTTTGGAAATCCCCCAACGCTTCCTTGCTTTGAAACACAACTTCCCATATTTTTTCTCTGTCAAATTCACAAAAATAACACAAAGTTTGTTACTTTTTTATATTCCAAATTTTGGGTTCAGAGTTTTTGGCTGCTAGAGTTTAGTCTCCAGTGAAAATTCCAAAGCAATAGTGTTAATTACTAATAAATATCTTTTCAAAAAAACAATGTTTAAAGTCTACACACGACTGCGCCGAACACGGGGAAAAGCTTGTTCTGTGAAAAAGCCGATAATGGTGTGGAACCGATTTTTCCAACTGGGGGTCCACGCAGACCACACGCTTCGTGGATAAACTTATCGGACTGTGATGGATCGTGACACGTGACGGCACACCAATAAATGGCGTGTTAGAGAGCGTGTGCACAAAAGAGAGTTTGGTTTTTCTTTTCCACTTGTGAAACAGTGAAAGTTCGACGATGTTGGATTCTCCCTTCGTTTTTTGGCTTTTTCTATGAAGGAAACAAGTGGCATTTCATTGGTTGCACCAACTTCCAGGATTATGCTCGGTGTTGGGTTGATCTTTGGCGTCTGACTTACAACAACTCGGTGATTCTAAACATATCCTACTTTTATATATTTTTTAAATACTTTAAAATAAAATCTTTTTTTTTTTCAATTTCATACTTTTTTTTATTTTTAAATTTCTATATTTATAAATCCGAAATTTTTAAAGTTTTTGGTTTACCATATCCAAACTTAAAATGTTATATCTCAAACCATTTAAATTAAAAAAAAAAAACTAAAGATTATGTTTGAAGTATTTTTAGATCTAAAAAGTAAATTAATTATTTTTTATTAGAGATTATCAACAATCAATTAAAAATATTTTTTTTATTTTTAAATTAATTTAATATATTAAATTAATTTGATATATATATTATTACATCAATTTAATTATATTATTAAAATCATTTATCTTTCATCTATAAATAAAATTATTCTAATATAATTAATCTAATTTTATTTTTTTATATTCTTATTTTCTTCTCATTTTGATTTCTTTAATCCTGATTTTTTACTTAAATTTTGGAATGCAAATACAAAAAACAACCCTTACTTTTTCTTTAATTGTTATTTTCCTTTTCTAGTAATTTTAGAGTTTTGATCCTTAGAGTTTGGCACCAATAATTCATATGCAATTTTTTTTTCAATTTAAAATTTATAATTATTTGAAACAATTAGTTTTTTTTGTTATAATAAAAAAATTGATAAAATATTTTTTTAAACCCTAAATATAATTTTTTTAATTTATCAAAAATATATAATTGATTACTTATATTATTATTAAATTTTCATTTTTAATAAATTTTATAACTTATAAAATATTCATATATGATAAGTTATAAAATTTATTAAAAATATAATGCTAAAATTTTTAAAATAAAATTAATTAATTAATTAAATAATTTCATCTAAAAATATTTTAAAAATTTTGGATATGAAAAGAAAATTTGAGTGTGCTCAGAACCACTTTATAATTTTAAGATATTTTTCTAATATTTGAAAGAAAATGAAATTCCAAAAAAGGGCCTGTCATTGCCAATATCAGCCATATCTTCAAAGACAAAAACAAAAGGAAAAACCCTGCTTATCCCCAAAGAACTATGGTCACTGGCACTCTTTAGGACTGTAAACATAGAAACTGAAAATTCAAGCTCCAACAAAAATGGCTGTTTCATCCTCTTCAATTCTCTGTCCCTTACACTGCAACTTCAACTCTAACGGCAAAAACAACAAAAAGCTTGCCTTTTTATCTGCAAATCCTTTTCTCTTCAGCATCTCATCCAGACCCACCAACACCAATAAAGGCTCCCCTATCATTCTCTTCTCTTACAGTTAAAAGAAACCCACTTTTCTTTATCATCATTTTGTCTATGGTTTTCTTCTTTTAACAACAAACTTGATTCTTTTTGTTGTATCGGCAGAATCAGGAAGTGGTTTGACAGCTAAAGACAAGAAAGTTTTGCGTGAAAGATATGGTTTTGATCCCAATGAGTACATATCTGAGCCAAAGGTGGATTTTTTTACCTCTTTTAATTGGGTTTTTGAATAATTGATTAAATGTTTAAAGATTTGATTTTTGAATTGGGTTTTGTAGACTAAAAGGAGAAATGATGTGCAAAGGAAAGGAAAAGGAAACGAAGTAGTAGCAGAGGAGGAAGCTAAGCCTCCAAGAACCACTCATAAGTTGCTTCAGGTACCAATATCATGTCTTTGTCTGTTTATGAAGGAGGAATAAAAGCTAATAGATGTTATTCTGCAATTGAAAAAAAATTAAATTTCTTTTTTGACATGAAGGCATTGGAGAAATGGTTATATATGTTGCTGATTTGAAGCTGTTTGAGGAATTGGACATCTGATTAGAATTTAGAATCAATTTTTCTGTCACCTTTTCAGAAGCAGCTGAGTCTTTATGGTTCTAAAGCATTTCTTAAGGAACTTGGGTGTCTCAATGGTGTGCCAGTTGCAGCTGATTTTATAAGCTTGATATGTTTAGATAATATTTATCTTGCCCATTTTAATTGGGCTAATCCTCAAGAGTTACTTAAAACAAGCATATTGACCATCCTAGGTGCTTGGAGGAAAGGCTAGAAGAAAGAAGTTGCTTTCACCTAAAGGCATGGATGTGAGACCAATGATGGAAGTTGTAAAAGGTGCTGCCTTTGATGTACTGCAGGTAGTGTATTTTATTCTTAACCGTGTAATCCTGTACATTTGCATCTATAAATGGTTTATGATTTTCCAATGCTTTTATGTATGTTGATGTGTGATGATTGTAAACTGGATCTTACGGAATTTTAGGGTTCTGATATTTTCTCTTAAGAATGATTCATTCTAGTGCCTTTTAGGTGGCTGGCGGCTGTCCTGCCGCTTTACGCCCTGGTCGCTGGTTAGACCTTTATAGTGGTACAGGTTCTGTTGGTATTGAAGCTATCAGCCGAGGATGTTCCGAGGTACTATTAGTGACTTATTACTCTTTATCTGCTTTTTGTGTCAGAATTAGTGGACGGACAATAATGATTTGACATTTTTGTTTAGGATTAAGAATCTGCTACAGTATCAAAGTTTTCCCATTGTTCTTTTCTTTTTTAATAAAGAAATGTGGCATATATCCTCAACGTCAATTGAAAGTTTGTTCTGTGATTCTACAGGTACATTTTGTTGAGATAGATCCTTGGGTTGTTTCAAATGTTCTGCGACCAAACCTGGAATGCACTGGGTTTCTTGATGTCTCAGTTATACATACTGTTCGTGTTGAAAACTTCTTAGAACAGGCAGACCGATTTGTAGGTGTGTTTCTTCTTTGATTCTTATGGTGATTTCTCGGTAATTAAAACTTCAATGTGATTACTGATTTGCAAATCGAACTGTGTATATAACAAAGATGAGAGAAAAATCCAAAAGTTTGATTCTGCGGATCACTTTTCTTGCTCGCTGATCATTTAGGAGAGAAGAACATAGAACATCTTCTCACTGGTGTGCAATTTTGAAGAAATGAATTTCAACGAAGACAAACTTATAAAGTCTAATATACCAATTTGATCAGTGAGCATATACGAAGTGTAGCATTGGACAACTTTAAGAATGTAGACTCTTTATGTGAATATAGACATAAAACTGCAAAGAACAGTAGATGGTTACAACACATGTTAATAGTAGTTGGTTCCCTATAGTAAATTAGCACCAAGAAAGTACTTTGTTAATGGAACTGTCAGCTCAAATGTGTTACAAGCATTTATTTCTGCCTCTCAAGGAAAGAAATAAAGATACAGAGAGCAGGTGCTGGTGTGCAAAATATGTCCGTCAGCCTGTATCTTCTTGAAAACTGATGTTTATCAAAAGAATCAATCACCAACTTTCTTGCAAAAGCTGATAATAAAAGTACAAATGGGTCAACTGTGTATTAGCGATAGTATCTAACCTTTCTAATAGTTAATGACTTCCTTTCTTTCCGAAACTAACGTTTGATTATGTATGACTTCCTTTCTTTCCGAAACTAACGTTTGATTATTTATAGATAGTAGTGGACCATTTGATTACATCAGTGTAACACCTCCATACGCCCAAGTTGATTATGGGTCCCTAATGGCTCAAATTTCAAAGTCAACTATTGTTGGAGAAGACACCTTTATTGTGAGTGGCAATTTGTTGTTTATTCAGAGATTGGGTTTATATGAATACCATTCCCCTTCTAAAATTTTATACTTTCATGGTCTAGGTAGTGGAATATCCTTTGAGAACAGACATGCTGGATTCCTGTGGATGCCTGGTAAAGGTATTTCTATTAATTAACTGTTTGTTATTTTCCATTAAGCTTCCGGTATGAAAAGAAAATTAAAGAATCTCTGGCCTGATATGATTCTTGAAAATTGAAATACACTTCATTTAAAGGTGTCAGCGTTTCACATCTCAGAGCATGGGAGTGTGGAGCTATATGAAGTTTCATGAATTGAAGTATCTTATGTATATAGACTCATGCTATGCTCTCTACAATTGTGTATTATATTTCGAATTTTTTATTTCTGCCTGATAGAGTGGAGATATGATTTATTATTGATTTAGTAACTAGTAATGTAAAATTATAGCATGCAAAGCAATTATTTCTATATAATCAAAGGACAGGACATCGGCGAGTCTTATTGTACTTATTTGTTAATATAAAATGCAGATCAAGGACCGAAGATTCGGTCGGACACATTTAGCAATATATGGACCCAAGTGGGCACAGAAGAAAAGAAAGTCAGAGAAGACCCTTCAAAATACACTACAGAAAGTTTAACTGCCAGTTTACTAGTCGCAGGTAGCACCGTCTTTCAATTATCTCTGTGTTGCAATCTTCAATTGTTTCAAAGCCAGATGTAAATTTTTCTGTGTAGTCAATGCTGTCATTTGTCAAATGCAGTTTATTCATTTGAATTATTTTGTGTATTGCTCTGCATTTTTTAAAAGGGTTGTGTTTTCAAATTTCAGATCTATCTCTTCATTGGTATCATCATGTTTTCTTGCTGCTTGATTTGTGTGAGCCGAACCCCATGGTGTGTCAAGCTGAGTTTTGTAGGAGGAAGCTGGTCTGTTCTTTCTTTACCTTTTTTCTTTTTGGGGTTTTGTTTTTCTTTAGTTCTATCTTTTGTAAAGGAAGTTGATTATGGGAAGGGGCAAAGATCATTGACAGCAAGACATATGTAATCTGTTTAAAGCCTTAGTACTACTTGTTCTTCAGCCATGGTTTGGAAAACAAATGTTTAGCAAAGTAATCAAGCATCTCTTTCCATTTTTTAGTAAAACTTCTTTTCCAATGTTGTTGGTACATAAATTTGATGACAGTTAACATTGTTTTCTTATCTATTTTCATCGTAATTTGAAGATCTAAATGAATAACTCATTTTAGTGATTGCTTTGGGTGAGGAACCATTTATAAGAATTTTGTTTAAATAAAAATTAAAAAAAAAAAAAAACCCTCTGCTGAGATCTATTCTATTCATATACATGAAGTAACAGTGGATCTCATTTCTCACATGATTGAAAGAGTTGTCACACAATAAAAGCATTATTGAACTGACATTCTCTTTAGAAGGAATAATCTTCTACAAGAAATCATAGATGTATTCAAAAAATAATTTCTGTGCCTAATGAAAATGACAGCATTTATTGATGTCCCTTTGGCTAAAGTTACTAAGTAACTTTCTAAAAATCCAATCCTCAAAGTGGAGATATAGTACTAGATATGATTTGAGAATCGCAAGATCCGTAATGGAATTACTTAGATGTCATACACTCGGTTGTGTTTAACTTTTAAGTTTCATTGCTGTCTGATTAAACTATGCATTCTTGTATGGTTCATTATGCTTTTAGCATTCAACAGCAAGTTTTCTCATGATTCATGTGGAATTACCAACAACTCGGTAGTTAGTAGGAATCAGTTTTATAGTTATTCTTTTATTCACCATTTGCCCTCTACCATTTGTTTATCCTGTCATGAATTTAAGCAGCTTGTCTATTGCTAGTTCTCTATTCTTTATTTTGCTGATACTGTTATATGAATCTTCATATTAAAAGTACTCAAAGTATGTCAGATTCACCGCACTGAATCTTGTTCACTATCTGATAAGAGCATCTTTTTTTTTTCTCTTTCATGAATGTGCTTAAGAAATGTATTTCTTTCTTCTTTTTATTTCTCCCCTTTATGTTTCTGAATAGTTGTTGAATGGTAAAGAGAGTTACAATAATCAAAATGGTGCATAAACCTGATATACTTTTTCTTCTTTTTGGCTTTATGGATAACATAAACTTTTCTGATAAATGAGCTATGCTGTTTTTCAATGTCACTAGCATACCTTTGCAACACAGTAGGGAGCAGGATGGATGTCCTTACGGTCCAAATCTATATTCTTGAAAGGACTTAATAATGCAAAATAAGCTCAGAATTCTCTAATTGTTGGTACATGTTGTTTCTTTAGTCATTATACTATATCTGGTGGGACTCTCATGGCCTGTTTACTGCTTAAAAGCAATGTAAAGGAATTGCAGGATAGTTTGCCACTTGCCTTGATCGTATCATTATTATACATTAATACATACATTTCATGGATTACATACAATTTGGTGCCTCATACTTTGTTAAAACTGACTTGGAAACGTAGGATGAGATACTTACAGAGTAAGAAAACTTGAAACTCCAGCCAAGACAGTTGTCTGCTTAGTTTTACGCCCTTTGCTTTCAAGTTCTCCCCTTTACAAGGGCTGATTGATGGATTCCTCTTTGTCTGTGTTAGCTTGTCAGAAAGCAACCCTTTGCATATTTTGCTATAACAGGCAACCATGTCCTTTCCAAGCTTAGAACACATTATGCTTGCTGCTTGCTGCATGAAAATGCACAAAACAAAGCAAAGAATGAGAGCTCCAATAGGCCCATTTCAATAAATCAAGCAACAAGGGCAACGAACTTTTCCATTTTGTTAGTCATGTTCCTCTCTCTGCTCTCTCAAAGCACACTGTTGCTTGAATCTCACATCTTTAGATAGGACGAATGACTTCTTACCCAGCAAGCTAAAAAACACCTAAAAACCATCCTTTTTGTTCACTTCTGAGTGTACCGCGTGCATTTTCCTCCCTTAAAAATTGACATGGTTGCTCTGAGTTCTCTGTTTAATGGCCAGCAATTCTTTGGTGAAAACTTGTAAAAGCAGCAGAAAGATATGGGGAGGGGTGATAGAGCTTTGAGGTTTCTGTTTGGAGTTACAGTGCTTGTGGAGGTTATTTTGTTATCGTTTGTTTGCATCACAGCAAACTATGCAACCACAATGACAAAATCAATAATTGTTTCCTCAACTAGAGATTTCAAACATTGAGAGTTTGTTGGACAAGAGAGGTTTAATTCTCATCAGTGTTTCCATCTCAATTGTGTCAGCAAGAGAAGAGTTCCAAAAGGACCTGATCCCATTCACAACAGTTACATGTTCTTGTACCTCATAACAAGTAGTGCATTTTTTTCTTCTTGACTTAACCACCTGCCTCTCCTCCCACCCTTTTTTGAAAAAGGAAATTCGATACTTATCAATGACCGGACATGATAAATCAATCTTTTGTGGCTTGGATTCAATAAGAGACTGAAGTAGAGATGCTCACACAAATAGTTACTAGTTTCATGTATGGTCTAGATACTGATATATGTTATTTTCCTGTTGAAATGGTAGATATGTTCCTTCAGCTTCAGTTGTTGCATTTTGCTTTGGGGAAGAGCGGAGGGGGTGTTCTAGACAGAGAAAGGGAGATGAGATGTACATTGGTTCCCTTTGGATATAATAGTCCACATATGCGAAAATGATACTATTAGTTAAATATTTCAAATGCATGAAAACAGGGTGATATTTGTGTTATTCTTTACAACAGCTTCTTTAAACCAATCTTTTGGTTTTTTCCAAATTCATGTTGACATGCCAAACACAAACACAATTTTTGGTTTTTGCCAAACTCATACGATTTTTTGCTAAAATTTTAGACCTTGTTGCTTTCTCATCTATCATAAATACAAAACTAGGACTCAGACATACCCACTGAACCTTTTTCATGTAATTATATATTCAGGAGAGCAGCAAAGTCTAGACAACCACCAGGTCTAGCCTAGGTGTGAAAGGCAATGAGACTCCTAGAGCTCCTGCAGATGATCAAAGTGGAGAAATTTTGTTATAAATTTTCTTTTAATGCATCTTCTTCAGCAGGTACATCATAAGCCTTGTGCTTTAAATTTTCTGAAAAAGTTTCTTACTAGTGTTCGTGCTGTTTTTCCACTTCAGAATTTGTGAAGTAAGTATATTCATTAAAAAATTTTGCACATTCATTGGTGATTACTTGAAATGATTTCCATCATGGATATCAAGAAAGTGCCTGCTCTAGCACAAGCATTGAGTACACAAGAACTATGAGAAAAAGATTGAACTTTCGGTGGAGTCCCACCACCATTTTTGCTTGCCCTTGCTTAATTTTTTTTAAGAGGAGGAGATCCATGAATACTGTTTTTGTTTAACAATGACAAAACCAGGCCAAGTAAATATAAATATAAATATAAATATATATATATATATATATATATAGTGTTAAGAAAAATTGAAGCAAATTCCTGTAAAGGGATGTTGTCTACATACATATATGTAGCTTTGTAACATAAATTAATCAGCTATACTACTATCCTTATTTTTTTTGGGTTTTTTTTTCTTCTCTGATGTTTCCTTTTGCTTCTCCTTCCAGCTGAATAAAGCAAAAGCTAATAACTAAAGTTGCTCACTTCTCAAATCATTTTTTTCTTGAATTCTGCATCAAAGTATGGCAAGCACTTTATCATTCTATCATTTAGTTCTTATTTTGCCAAATCAAGATGCTTATAGACAAGAAATTTACTTAGTCTGACGAAAGATGAACTTAGGGTTTAATTTAGGTAGTTTATATAATCATCCTTAAGATATTGCATCCAAGTCTGGGGTTCAAATCGTAGCATCTACACTCATTTTCTAAGCTACGGCTTTTTATGTAAAGGAAAAATCAAAAACCAAACACAAAATGTTGTTGGGAAAGTGATATTAGGACTAGAGGCACTAGTTTTAACACTAGTTTTACAGACATTTTTATAATATTACTTTTGAAAAAATCTGCAATAAGAAGGTAATTGAATGGACATATTAGCAAAATTCTTGGACAGAGTTTTAGATAACCTCAATCTGATAAACATTGTGTGGAAAACATCTACTTGAACCATACTTTTACCACAGTTCCAGTTGAACCAAGCATGTTCTTACTTGATTATCAAAGGATTATCAAAGGGTTGTCGACGTCAGTTTCTAGTAGCCAACAGCTGCGTGACCTGTTTAGTAGAGTGCAGCAGCTACTTAGCCTATTAGTAGAGTGCAGGACTCTTACTTCTAGTGTTTAGGATTCAAACCTTTACATTCTCAAGTATCAAAAAAAAAAAAAAAATGGTCATCTCTAGGTCCTTAACTATCAGTTTTCGGCATCAAAATGAAACAATAGAGAAAAACCCATGTAAATTCAAATGTTTCCAGACATGATTAGAGACAAAGCATAGTGAACTTGTACCTTAATTTACACAAATATTGACATGGAGACATGTCTCAAAAGTCCAATTCTTATGTTGATCATGACCCTCAATTCCATGAGACACGATAGACCCTATTGATCTTTTAGAGTTACATATTGCTTTTTTTTCTTGAACTAGTTAGTTCACTCGTGTTATAATGACTTGGACTAGTAATTAGTTTAGTCATGATTGTGAATTCTCATCTTCGTATATGTTTTAACAATGTATATGTTATCGTTTTAGTTTGTCTTCGTCTATGTTTAACAATTTAGATATTGTGATCTCTGTATCGTATCGTTTTATATTCATATTGTGTGTCTGTACTTTATAGAAGGAAGTTGATTGAATGTTCTCAAATTATCAAGAATCAATCAAAACCAGTGTTTAGAATTCAAGAACTATACCATACAAGAACTATACCATACATATTGGCCTTATGCTGATGGTGCTGTTTTCTAATAGCACCGATTAAGATTTGTCTGAACAGTTCATTAAGATCATGTGAAGTGCATATTTGACCAATTTGCAGCTTAGTTGAAAGGATTTCCAGCAGAAAGCCATTTGGGGGCACATAAATAGTCAAGTAGTTGCTCTGCCAACAGTGTATAAAAAAAGGGGTGCCAAGCACTAGTGGTCAGGAAAGTATGCGAAGCAGTGCACTTGTGTTGTCGTCAGCCAATTATTGCTATAGATAACGACAACGTATAGTTTCACTGGCAATCAAACTTCTGTGATGATGTATCAAATCAATAACAGCTATGGCACTGGACAAAGGATATCTACTCAGATCACTACCAGTCTCCAAAGAAAAAAGATGGGAAAAAGGATGAAAAAGAGAAAACAAACGTCAGAACTCATGCTGCTATACTTGCTAATCAGGTCACAAGGACAAGGGTTTAAATTTTTCTCTTGATGTAGGCCAACTTTGGTTGACATAACTAGGTCATACATTATGTATTCATTTCTCTAGTTACTGTATCAATTCATGCCTGCACATTGCTTGGGCATGTAGTGCCGTGGAACACCTCAATCCAAGGTGGGGATATTATGAAGATTCGCTATATATATAAATATATAGGGGGAGAGAAAGAGACTTGAACTTATACTTCTAAGATGTCTTTTATGGAATAAAATTATAAGATCGGATCAAAACGGATAACATCTTACGTGTTTAATGCAAATCTTCACAAACCAGCAACAAAAAATAAAAGAAAATGATCCACTGTTTAAAAATTTTCTCAGTGCTTTTGTAATAGTGGCATCAAGGCCTTTTTTTCTTTCCTCCTGCAATAAAAAATGTTGATATCTAAAACAAAGTAAAAAGAATTTTGAGTTCCTAAGCCAGATAATGATCTCTCTGATAGGTAAAAAGAACATCTATGAGCATCAATATTGATTTCATTGCAAAACAAGGAGCAAATAAATAGATTTCTTAAAGATTTAAGAACCTACAGTTTAACAAGTTTATCGTATTATACAACAATAAAAAGGCAACTGAAATGGAGATTGGCATCATATATATATATATATAAAAAGCCTTTGAGAACTTACAACAACATGTAGAAATTTTGTATGCACTAACATTTTGCGTACTTGTCCCGATTTTACTCCAGAGCTACATTGGTTCATTATCTTGCTTGGTGAAAATCAGAGGGAAATCATCAAACTCTTCTGAGAAACCATTTTCCTCAGCCATGCTTTTCAATGACTGGTAAACCTGGAACATAGACCATCTGTCCTTTGGCCGAGAAACAACACAATTACATGCAATTTTGAGGAACTGCAAAATTTCCTCATCATAACCCTTTCCACAGAGAGCCTTGTCAATAGTATCCTTGATTCTACCAGAGTTAGAGAGATGATTTACCCAATCCACCAAATTACCCTTGAATCCTTCTTCACCTGCATTAACTTCTAGGGGTTTTTGCCTAGTTATCAGCTCCAGAAGCACAACACCAAATCCATACACATCCCCTTTAAGTGAAGCCACCATAGTGCTTGAATACTCTGGAGCTACATAACCAAATTCACCTAAATCACCATTCATAAAACTAGTTTCATTAACATCCGAGGAAATCATAAGCCCTGCCAATCCAAAGTCCATTATCCTAGCATCAAAGTCCTCATCAACAAGAATCACATTGGAGCAGATGTTCTGCTGCAGAAATGGAGGCTGGCACCCATGGTGCAGCCAAGTGAGACCCCTCGCTACACCCAAACCAATCCTAAATCTAGTTGGCCAATCTACGGCAGCAACACTCCCATGTAGCAAGGAATAGAGAGTCCCATTGGACATATTCTTATAAACTAGCAACTTCTCCTCCTCCACAACACAAAATCCCAAAAGGGGTGCCAAATTTGGATGCCTAAGCTGGCCTAACCTATTCATCTCCCAACGAAATTGCTTCTCATCAAGCTTGCAAGTTGAAAGCCTCTTGATTGCAAGGGCCGATCCATCAGGAAGCACTGCCTTATAGGTCGTTCCCGTCCTAGTGGAAATTATGATGTTCTCTGCACTGAAATTGTTTGTTGCTGCCATCAAATCAGCCAACTTAACTTTCACAAGTGGCTTCTGAAACAATGAAACTTGAATCAACTTATGAGCCCTTAACCTCTCAGCCCAACTACTGTCATCACCCCTTCCAATATAACCCTTCTTCCTCCTCCGAATCCATTGCAAATGGTACCACCACCAAACCCCAAGTCCCAACAACATTGAAGCTGCAGCACCAAAAACCCCAGCTGCAATTATAATCGCCAAATTCCTCCTACTCAAACCCCCACACTTTCCAAGAGGAACCCCACAAAGACCACTATTCCCAGCAAAATTTGCCTTCTCTTGATTCGCAAAAGATGAAGGAATAGGACCTGTGAGATCATTATTTGCTACAGAAAACTTCTTCAGCCTATCTAAACCGGATAATTGGTATGGAATTGACCCTGAAAGCCTATTATTTGACAGTATCAAATTATTCAGATACGCACAATTTGACAATTCAGGTGGTATGGGACCTGACAGATCATTGCTAGACAGATCGAGGGTTACTAAATAAGGTAACCAAGAACATATCTGTGGAGGGATCATACCAGAAAGTTGGTTGGCTGACAGATCCAAAATCTGCAAACTCTGACAGTACTCTAAAGATTGAGGTAACTGTCCTGACAGTCTCATGTCACGAAGTTCCAGACTTAACAGGCGGTTTTCCCGTTCATTCCAACATGAAACTCCAACAAACTTGCATATAAAACCAACTGAATTGTTATTGAAAGTCCACCCGCTTAACTTCCCATCTGGGTCGTTTAGAGAATTCTTGACACCTTCCAGGCACTTCATATCATCTTCAGTCACAGCTGAAAAAACAAATCCTGCCAAAAACATACATGCTAAAACAAAGCTGAAGATCTTTAACCTGTTGGAAAAAGATCCCTTCATAGCTTACCACAACAATGAAATCAAAAAAACAAAACCCAGAGTTTTATTTGTGACCTAGATCACAAAAACAACACTGGAGTTCATGAGATAAAATTTACTTTTTCTTTTTGTTGGTGTGCTGCAATGACTTCTGAGGAAGAAAATTTGAGAGTAGAATGGGTGGATTGGCCTGAAGAGGAAGAACCTGTGAAGGCAGTGGATATGTCTATGTGAAATTACCAAACAAATTGCTTAAACAGTTTTCTTGATTTGATTATTTCCTCTAATACTACTAATATTTGTATTATTTTCTTTCGTTATTTTTCTTGCGAGTGCTTTTTGTTGAAAAAAAAGAAAATTTTTGGTCAACTTGAAGGTGAGCGTGAGTGATGATAACAGCTTCTTTGACTAGAAGATTGATTATTTTAAAAGAATTAATTAAGAATTTGTTGACCAAGAAACTATATTATTATGGTCCATTAAGGTGGGTGCTGCACCAAATAATAATCTTCCTCACCGGTTACTTTTAATTTAATTTAAAATAATCTATATAATATATTTTTTTCATTAAATCTAAGATAAATAAATTATTTAATTTTCAAATCAAAATAAAATATATCATATTTAATAATATAAAATAAATAATTATAAATTATATATTTAAAATAATTTCAATAAATAATCATCAATAAAACTTAAACTCATCTATTAAACAAAAGTTTCGATTATGATAACAAGAGTAATAGATATATAAATATATTTTTAAAAATTTATAAATAATTTCTGCTTTTTCACTTGTTGTTTGAGAATCTGCAATATTACTCCAACTTCTAGATATCTGTTTTAAGTAAACAAAGATTGATAATAAAAAATTAATATATTTTATACCATAAATAAAAATATATGCTAAGCTAAAAATAGAATATAAATATTTTTTAAAAATGCATATAAATTAAACTTTCAAATGCGTTTATTTTTATGTAATTTATAAATAAATAATTTTTATATATAATTTTTATAATTAATAAAAAATGATCATATTAATATTAATACATATTTTAAAATATACAAAAAATAATTTTTTTTGAATAAATCATTATTTTTTATTATGATTTATTTTAAAATTAATTCAATAAAAAAATTCTTCCTCAAAGCGAGGGTAACAACCTAGTATATATTTATTTCAAAAATCTACTTTTAATTAAATTTATATTTTCAATTAATTTTTATAATCATTTTTAAAATATAACATCAAGTATGAATTCAAATCTCAAATTTTATATTTTTTAATTTTAAAATATAATTTTTTTTGTGAAAAAAAAAATCATTTTTCAATTACAAATTCCATAGAGATTCTTATTAGTAGTAAATATTTTAATAGTTGAATATAAAAGTGAGTATTTCCTCCTTTTTGATGCCCTTTCTTTTTGTCTTAGTAAATATTTACAAGCAACCAAGTTGTTGGGATTTGGATCTGCCCAAAGTTTGTTTGTTTCCATTCATCAGATTCTACTTAGCTTTTTTATGCAATGAAAGTGGAAGGTATTGGTTTTTTTTTATTATGACCCGTGCACCATTCTCAAATAGTCCAAAGAAAAGAAAATTCCTGCCTTTTGCCCCACAAAAAGTGAAATACTTCAATATTTTGACTTTATGGAATCACATAATATCTAGCAATATGGGATTGGTTTAAAGTATTATTTATGATATTTTAATTTTATATCGAGATATTATAAGATTTTATTATAATATATATGTAAATATTTAAATTTAAATTTATGAGATATTTTTTATAAAATAAAATCGTAAAATTTTTGAATCAAAACGGATAATACTTCATAAATTAAATGTAAATCTTCGTATTGTTATAACTTAGCAAAAGTTCAAATGATTGAAATTAGTAAATTTAAGTTAAGTAGTTTGTTTCATTTTTAATCATCGACTATTCCAACACTTTTTCTAAAGCAAATCTTGGGTATGCCAACAAAATTTTGTGTGGCTATAATGCCAATTGGAGATACACCAAAGATTTGGAAGCCTTAAAGTCCAACAGGCAATAGGCTTTGATTTTAACTACCAAGATGTTAAATTCATATTTTTCCTGATTGAAAAGCATCCTTCCTATTTGAAATGTAAAGATAACATCAATTTATTAAGGATATGGGTATCTAATTTATAATATATTATTCATTTTAATTCAAAAATCTCATGATTTTATTTCATAAAAAATATTTTACATATTGAATTTAAATCTCAACATAAATATTATATTATATTCACATGTTTTTTTAATATAAGATTGAAGACGCTACATTTATGTACTATTTTGATTATCAACCTATGTATTATTCATATACATTTCTCATTTGAATTGAGATATAATCATTGTTAGAGTTAGCTAATAAATTTAATTCGAAATTGAAAATTTATGTTAATTTATCTATGTCTAATCTAATTTGATAAAAGAAATTAACAATCTAAATTTGTCCCATTCAAACCGAAACCGTTTGAATATAAAGTGATTTAATTTTAAAAATTAATTATTCAAAATTTTTTCAACCTTGAATGAGTCAATTCAAAATGATCTAATTTGACCTGAAATCGTCAAATTTTTTCTATCAATGAGACGTTTATTTAAAAAAAAAAAAAAAGATATACTATTTGTGTAAAATGTCTTTAGCATACTTTTTATTCGCCAAAAATTGATGATTTGAAAATATATATAAGGTTGGTGTGGTCAAACACCTTATAAATTGAATTAAAATTGTTTCACCCACCTACTTGGTTTTTTATATTTGATAACATCATCCACAAGGAAGCCACCAAATAATTAAGCAAAAACCTTGCCAAATCACAATATGTGCCAAAAAAAAAAAAATAAAACTAAAAACAAAACATTATATTTTGAGCTAGAATTTATTAATATTCTAATTAATTTTAATTAAGAATAACACACACACATATATATATATATATGAATTTTATATTTTTTATCATTAAATCTAGGGTTGGCAATAGATTAGATTGCCCCAAATCTGACCTAACTCTATATTCATGATATCCAAATTTGATGATTTTTTTATTTTTTTATATCTGAATCTTATCCGATTTGATATTATATAAAATCACACCCGATCCAATATAATTCAAAATTAATAAAATATTATTTTTAAATATAAAATATTATTTTTAATATAAATATAAAATTAAATAAATAATTTAAAAAATAATTTTATATATATATCAAGTTATATTGAAACGAATTTATCTAAAATTTGACCCTTACTTTATTCTACAATTATTCTACTCAAAACTTGATTTAAAAAAAAAAATTTGAAAGATCAAGTCCAGTCGAAATCCATCGAATATGAGTTAGATTATCATCTTTAATTGAATCAAAATTAAATTTATAATTAATTTAAATTAAAATAATATTTTTAATTTTATTCATTTTAATTCAAAAATAAAAAAATATAAAACTTACATTAGTATAAACGGGTACGTCATTTATATATTTATATATATAATCTTATTTATAGGGAATAACAGCAATATTCCATGGCAGCTATTGAAATGTCATACAAAACGGCTCCCCGACAGGCCATTGTTCAATGTTTTACGCAATATTAAATTTTGAGAGTGATCGAACATTATTATATTGTAAAAGAAGGGCCAATTGAAAAAGACATATCTTATTTATAAGGATAGACCAACAACTTCAAAGGCAGCTTTGAAAATTTCATTCAAAACTGCTCCCTGCAGGAGCAGGCCTTTGTTCAATGTTTTACCTTTCTTTTTTTTTTTTTACTAAAACAATATGATATTATTAATTCATTAAATATGTGTTACCAAAGATAGCAAACTTACCAAATCGATAATTACCACTATTACATTCATCAAAATATATTTAAGGGTGAGAAAAAAATCAGGAATGTAATAAAATTAATAAATTAACAGGTTATTGGAATTTGTGATAGTGATCGAACATTATTATAACAACAAATTTGGATATTTAATAGATAATATTTATTTAATTAGTAGAAAGTTTGGATAAAATATTTAAATTTAATCTGATGATTAACGAATTCAAATATTATTAAAATTAATAGAATTTGAGTAAAAATATTTTAAAAATTTTTCCTCCCTTCTCCTAAAATCTTAGTAAAATTTGGTTGAAATAAAATTTATAATAGTATTTTTTTTATTTTAATTTAGTAGAAAGCTTTTTGGACTTGGGCTGAGAAGAGTGGACTATGGAAAAATGGTTGGGGTTAATGCCCTTTTCCCATTAATTGGCCTACCAAAGAAAACAAGCCCAATTATTGGTATTAGTTAATTAAATAAAATAAACAAAGCAAGCCCAAAACTTTGATAAAGAAAAACATAAAGAAAAAAAATGCTGTCTCATTTGGGCCACACTTTTGAAAGTCTAATTTTGGAAATTTGATTTATACTATAAGAAATTATGAAATTTATTTATTAATTAAAGGACCACTTAAAAAATATAATTGAATTGAATTAAATTAAAATTTGTTTTCTTGATAATTCAATAGGTCATAATTTGAACATATGAGGTCAGATTACGAATTTCTCTGTGAAATAAAAAAAATGAACATCCAAGTTAATCAAATTTTGGAGAGTATATATGTACTAATTAGAAATTATTTAAACATTTTAAACAAGGAAAAAGTAGGAGGATGGTCCCCCAATGAATAATGGCAGGTAGAGACCCATTGATCATATAAATGAAATGAGATAGACATATCTAGAAAGAAAGAGCATAATCTGATTTATCTATGAAGGCTGTGCCTATGTACTTCTTAATATTTCTCCTAAATTCTAAAAGAAAAAAATTAAAATTCTTCTTCCTACTCTCTTACGTATAAAAATCTAAATGATACATTAATATTTGTAAACTATTCGAGTTCGATTCGAATAAAATTCGAATTTGACTCGATTATTATTGAATTAAACTCAAGGCCCAGTAATTCAACTTATCAATCGAATCAAATTTGAACATTCTTATATTCAATTTGAGTAATTAATGAACTTAATTAAGTTTTTATATTTTAATATATTTTAATTAATAAAATATCTCAAGCTCGAGCACAAATAATAAAATTTTTGTGAAATATAATAATCAAACTTATTTTTACATGTTAATCGAATCTAATCAAATGAATTCGAGTAATTCGATTTTTATCTCGAATCAAACTCGAACTAAAAAAATAAAATTCGATCAAATTTGAACCGAATTTCAAACATCAAATTTCGATTTAAGCTCAAACTCGAGCTAAAACTTAATATTATATCCCTTCAAACTCGATTGATTATACTTTTACTTACATATCTACAACATAAGTATTAAATAAAATGTTGATCAAATTCTATAATATATTTTATTTGTAATTTTTTTTATTCTCAAGATATGTTTTTTTTATAAAAGAAAAAATTAGTGAGACCATACCAAAAAATGAAAGATTAATGTAAGCTATGAATTACTTGATGAATAATAATGGGTATAAATTAAAAGGAATAAAAAGACAAAATATGGATAGGGAGGAATGTGAAAGGGGTGACAAATGCACAAATGAAACCTGATTTTATGTTGACAAGAGGATGATAGCCAAATCAAACCACACAAGTGGTTGGTGTAGTCGTAACTGACATGGGCCAAGGCTGCTCTTGTGGACTGATTGTGAGTGACGTTGTTTTTTGTTGTGGTCGGAACTGCCAATGTTCCCATCAATTTGATGACTGAAAAACCAACACATATGGTAAAAAGAAAACTAAGGTTATTAATGGCCATCACGTCCATGTATTCAGCTGTATGATTAGTTTTCACAATAATTGGTCTGCACCCAAAAGGAATGAATCTGATATGAAAATAGATCCATATCGGAGAAGTTGCATAAATGTAGAGAGAATCTACTTCTTTAATCAAAGCCATTTATAAGAGTTTGATGAAACATCAATGCAAGACACATTTTCTTTTTTTTATTTTTTGTTATGTTTTTCTTTGTTCATGGGGTCATCCTTCATCAATCTTAAAAAGGACTAGCTCAGCTAAACAAATAAAAATAAATCAACTTGGAAATTATAAACCTCCAACATTACATTGCTTTAGGATTCTTTTGGTAGCATGATAGAAGCATTCCCACCACTAAAGATTAAGTTATGATAATAGTATCAAAACAATTATCAGACGAAAATTAAATATTATATTTTAAAAATTATTTTTAGAATTTCAATATTTAATATGATTTTAATTTTACAATTCTATAATTTTATCCGTATTTTATATTCGTAAAATTTTTATATCAAAATAAATAATATCTCTTAAATTACATGATAATCTCCAATAAAGGAATGAAAAGTTAACTATTGAGACAGTATAACGTGCATGGAATAATTCAATAACATTTTTGGGTTTTTGAAATTGCTCATCTTAGGTGTACAAATACACGATATTTATACGTGCTCAGCACGACCAGCTAACAGCCAGCTCTAATAATCAAACAAAAGCATTTTTAGTTTTTGATAGAACATTGTGTGGTCCAAATATATCCTTTTTTTGGGTTTCTTGAGATTCAGGAAATTCAATTATATACCCGAAGATATCAAGTTGAAGTTTCTTCTCATCCATCCAAGCCTTGACTTTTCATTTTAGATTGTACTTTTCTTTCCATGTCCCTCGCTCATAAACTTCAATCTCTTGGGATTATCGTTTGAATTATATGTCTAAACTTCGAGTGTTTATCTCCCAAGCTCATCTATTTGCGATACCAGGCGATGAACACAACAATATTCAACAGGGAAAAACTACATTTTTTTAGTTTTATTATAGATATCGATAAAACCTGGACGCCTTACAAAGAAAAACCAGGAAGAGAGTAATTACTATCCTTCCCATTTTCTTGTAGCTTTTTTTTTTATTTCTGGTATGGACTTGATTTTTTTTTAGGAGTTATAATGGATGACAAGAAAGCAAAGTCAGGTTCTAGGAGATTATGGAAATGGTTCAAAAGGAAGCACAAGCACGAACAACCTGATCCTTATTACTACCTGGATGAACTTTCAGGTTTTTAAAAGTTTCTTTCTCCTTTTTCATCATTCGTTTTCTATTGGTTTTTGACTGTTTGATACTTTTCTTGCAGATGGAGATGATGATTTCATGGAAGATGTTTATGTTAGTTCGTTTGAGATGGATCCATGCACTTCAACATATGAGTTAAGGTGAGTTTTACAGGCTTAAACAGAAAAGGAAAGAAGGGTTGAAGATCGAATAACTAACCATTCCTCCATGTTTCAGAATTTTTGTGGGAACTTGGAATGTTGCTGGACGATCTCCTGTAGGAAGTTCAGTTGTTGATTTAGACAAGTGGCTAAAACCCCAGGATGCTGCTGACATCTACGTTCTCGGGTATCATGCTATAGTCTCTATATCATCCAAAGAAAAGAGTAAATCATTAAATTGACATTAGAAAATTTCAACCTGCAGGTTTCAAGAGATTGTACCATTGAAAACTCGAACCGTGATCGGAGCAGATGATCCCACAGAAGCAACAAATTGGAACCTGCTAATAGGAAAAACACTAAACGAACACTTTGGTTGCCCTTGGTTGACTCCCATGTTGAATCCCATCTCAAGTGACAACTACCATTATGTACAAGTTCCTGGTTCTGAAAGAATGGCAAGTTTTAGTGGAATAAGTGATAATACTCCAATGAGAGGGAGGTCGATAACTGGACACCATCATGATCATAAGCAACCATGCATTGGGAGCAGCAAATACAAGCTAATGGCAAGCAAGAAAATGGTTGGAGTTTTTATAAGTGTATGGATGAAGAAGGAATTGCTGAAGAAATACTGTGTTTCAAATGTGAAAATAAGTTCAGTAGCTTGTGGAATCATGGGTTATTTGGGAAACAAAGGTTCAGTTTCAGTTAGCATGTCAATTGAAGGTAGCAGCTTCTGCTTCATTGCTGCTCACTTGGCTTCTGGTGAGAAGAAAGGCGATGAAGGTCGAAGGAACCATCAAGTTTCGGAGATTTTTAAGCGAACTTGTTTTCCTCGATCACTCGAAGATGATGACAGTCCTCATCCTCTCACCATCTTAGGACATGAGTAAGTAATTCTTCAAACTGAACAAAAGTTTTAACCAAATAAAGGATGAATCCAACTTCATGAAATAAAATTTCATCATTTTTGTGTGGAGCAGTCAGATATTCTGGTTCGGAGATCTCAACTATAGGTTATACAAGTTGGAAGACAATTTAGCTAGGCATCTGATACAGAAACAAGACTGGAAAGCACTACAGGAATTTGATCAGCTTCGAAGGGAACAAGAAGATGGAGGAGTGTTCCAAGGTTGGAGAGAGGGGAACATTGAATTTGCACCAACATATAAGTATTCTTCATCAAATTGCAACCGCTACTCGGGTGGCCTTCCTGGCAGATCAGGAGAGAAACAAAGGACTCCTGCATGGTAACTTTCACAGAATCCATTTCTTATAGCTACAATAGGCAATTAGACGCATGGCCACTATATATAAGATCTGATTTTATGACAAACTTACTTGCATGATGCATGTGTGTCTGGTCACAGGTGTGATAGAATTCTGTGGTATGGGAAAGGAGTGAAACTTCTATCCTACTTTCGTAGTGAAATTAAGTTTTCTGATCACCGGCCGGTCTCTGCCCTATTCTCGACACAGATAGAAGTCACGAAGTCCACCAATCCAAGAATTGTAGACAAGGATACTATTGCTCCTAACACTATGCCTCCTGAACAGATTGTAAGTTCTCTCGTTCTAATTACCATAGCATAACTTTGGCATGTCTTTCCTACAAATTAATACTGGTAAATGTACAGTCCAGCAAGTTTTAAGTTTGTGAAGTCTGTATATGATCATGGCATGATAGACCGTATTTCCATTTCCATTACAGGGTACAAGCAGAAATGATGAAGAGGGCAAATCTACATTGCTATCTTTGATTGTAAAGGATACGGAAGCATCTTCGACACATGCAAAAACTGTAGATAAACCTTATGAGTGCCGATTCAGCTAATTTATTTCACTGCAGGCAGGCTTAGAGATATATAAAACCTCTTATTCAGTATGATAAGAGATTTGCAAAAGAGAACAATAAGGGTTTGAAAATTGTAATTCTTTCAAAATTTCTCAATAAGAAGCTGAAATAGATATATATGCATGAAATTTTGACATGTAAAAATCAGTTCAAACAATGGGCATATTCTTTCGCACATTGTGCATTAATGAATAAGAGATACTATGTCTTATCCCTTATCTTGACTTTGGGGCACCAATTATGGCCATAGTATACAATCAACTGCCATAAATGTATAGTCCTAAAAGTTCTCATGCAATTTATATTTAAAGACATCAAAACCATGGCAGCAATATTCGTATGTAAAAGACTTACAACAGATCAATTTGCCTCATTTGCCTGAAGAATTCCACCCAAGGCCTCCACATTAACTATATGACAACTGGGACATATAAACCCCTCTGCAACTTCTCACTGAGCGATGCACATATATTTTCCAGTTCAGAAGTCTGCTTGATTCAAGTCCAGGAGATATTTTACAAGTACTAGTGTTCATCACAAACGATGTTAGCTGGTGCAGCACATCCAAGGAAAAAAAAGAAGATGATAAAAGCCAGTAAAAGTATTCAAATCTATACTTCTTTGCCAGACCTGAGCTGTATTCAGATTATTCTATTTTCCAGCAATGAAAAGATCAAAAGATGAATATTCATTTTGACTCCTAAGGCCATCAGTATAAAAATTCAATAAATGATTTCAACTTCTTTTAGTTATTAGCTTCCAGAATTTTGTTCTTTCCCCTCATTTTCTTGATAATGAAATTCAGAATTAACCAGCGGAGAAAACAGCTAGTACAGATAGCTGGTATTTGAAGCAATCAACCTGATTTCCGTTTAGATGGGTTAGAAACATGTAGAAAAATGCTCTGAGATAATTAATTATGATTTATTAGCATAATATGAACAATAAATTTTCTCTTTCACATCATACTTCTTTTTAATCAAGACTTTATGTTTAATTGGTGAACTTCATATGTAGTTCCAAAAGCAAATTTGATTAGGATATCTTGTCATGTCCGCTAATGCTTTTGTTTGTTGCATCATTGCCTCCATCAGACACACCTTCCTCTCAATGTCAATAAACTCCAGCTGAACCTGCGTTGTTCTTAGACCACTTGATCAATCTAATCAGATTATTTTATTTTATAGTAAAACTTTTGCCAGATATCTTTCCAACAGACATAGAGGGCAGGAAGGAGGTTATAGAACTGAAGACTCATAATTTCAGCAACTAAGTGAAAAGTATCTAAACTTTTTGACAGTGCATCTTATTAGTAATATTTCTAGAGCACAGAAGACTATTTACCTGCTTTTGGATATTCTGTTCTGCAAGGCATTCTTCCTCCTCTTTAGCTATTTGAGAGACAATGTGAGCAAACTGATCCTCAATAGTTCTTAAAGCAATTTCAGTAACTTCCTTCTTTATAAATTTATAGCCTTCTTCTGAAACAAAAGTAAACATTCCTTCAGTTATTTATACCATGGAAAGAGAGGACAGTGAAAAAAAAAAGGAAGAGATAGAAGTTGGAGGAATTAGTTAAAATTTGAGACCGCTACTAGCCTTATAGTAATTCTGAAATGAAAACCTTGTAGTTTTATGTAAACATGATAAATGACCATCTACAACATAGCCACTCTAGTATTTATGAATTGCCATGATGACCAATCTTATGTAAAGAACTTATTGTTTGCATAGCAGTAAAGACTAAATTTTGGCTTAAGCTTACCTGCCTTAAGAAGCAGGAGTTACTTGTGATAAATTATTATAGAAAACAAGCTTTTGGGTAAGCACCTTGAGATGGGTCATGTACAACAAAGCCTAAAGTTACAGATTTGTGTAACTAACATAAAAGCTCATGATTATAAAGGGAAGATCAAAATGTCCAACTAGAAGACGCATAGTCATGAATTAATATGATTTATTTCAATTAAAAAAGTAATTAGAACAAATCCAATGCCCTTAATAAGCTCAGTATAGATGGGAAAAAATGAAAAAGGAAACACCTTTTAAGATAGTCCGAAAATTGAGAAGGGGAAAAAACAGGATGGAATTTAAATTTAAAGGCTACTACCCACTGCATTGCCAACAGTATTCTTGTCCTGAAAACCAGAAGCTCTTGTCTCTTGGAATTTCCTGAGTATCAAGTAACATCTCATAAATAAGTCATTTTTTAAGGTGCAAGCAACAAGGGTGCATCCAAATGCTAGAATCCTATACTCACAGAAAATCACAGATCATCGAATATTGGTGCAAAGAGTGAAAAATTTAATAATAACAATCCTCTGAGTCCCCCCACTAATAGTTATTGCTATTAGGTTCTCCCCACCCTTGTTTTATCCACTGATCTCTTTTCCATACCGCATGCAATAACAAAACAATTCCATGAATTTTTTGGCATTTACCTCAACCAAAAGAGTTAGCAAAAACTAAAATCACATAATGGTCAATAAGGTATGAAAGAAATCCAATCAAAACTATTGATTTAATAGGCGAAAACAAAAAATCTGATAATCCATTCATCAAGCAGTTAGATCACAGCTACCACATAACTATGAAGAGAAGAATATAATAAGCTTATGCAACGTTTGAAGAAGTTACAACAAACCTTATCCTAGCATTGAAATCAACCATTTGACAAATAAACTCATCTCTGCACAAAATTAACAAGACATGGAATCAGCAATTCTTCTTCTTTTTTTTTTTTTTAAGTATAAGAAAATTAAAAAAAAAAAAAAAGGTTGATGTCTTTACCTTGAAGTTGCTTCCTTATTCTTTAAATATTCCGTGCAAAATTTTCAAATAAATATTTAATTAAAAAACAAAAACTCATCTTTGATTCAGATATACGAATCACAAAAACGAGGTCGTTTTAGTACCTTAAGTTCCTCTACTTCAGATCCAACGGTGGATATTTCATCTTGAATCAGAGCATTTCTCGCCTGCAAACAATGATATAATTTTTTTTTTAAGTGTAAAAAGTTTTAAAACAAATTATTGAAGATTTTAAAAATAAATCGAAAAACAACGAACCTCTAGGGCTTGAATCGAAGCTTCGTATAAGGCTAATTCAACTTCGAAGCCCTTAAGCTCTTGCTCGGTTTTTCCTTTTAAACTTTTTGCTTCCTCAAGCTCTGATCGGAGTTCTTCGATTTGCTTCTTCAAGCCAACGACTCTTCTTTCTACACTTGACCACTCCAAACATCTCAAATAAAAATCTCCCTTTATTTTACAGAGAAAATGAAGAAAAACGAAAAAAAAAAAAAGGGAAAAAGAGATTTGATTCGACCGGAAACTTCAATTCTGTTCTCATTTCTTGCCTACCATTTTCTCGGGAAACAAACAGAAACACATAAGATATATGTAACTGTAAGGAAATGATTAACTCCTCGAGATTTCTCAGAAGCCAAGTCACGGACTAAAGAAAGGAGATTTTTTGGTGGACCAGTTCCCGCCATATTTGCTTTCGCTTCCTGTTTTTGGCTAAGGAAATTCGAATAAATGAAGAGATTTTTTAAGTGGAAAATCTTTTATATAAATAGAAAATAGTATGACAATTAATTCAAAATTAAGATTGTTGGCCTAATAGGGGCTTAGCCCAAATATTAAAGATAGGGTTGACAGCTTAGTCCAAAAGATTTTAATCTTATTAATTTTATAAGATCGATTTTTTTTTTTAAATCGAGTTTTGAATTAGATCAGATATTATTAAAAAAAAATCGAAATCGAGCTAAATTTGGTTTGTCTAAAATAAATTTGACTCAATATTATATTAAAAATTATTTTTTATTTTTTTTAATTTTTTTATTTATATATAATTATATATTTATATTTAAAAAATAATATTTTATATTTAAAAAAATAATATTTTATTAATTTAAGGTCAGATCAGGTATGATTTGTATAATATCGAATTTCAAATCGAATTCAAGTATTAAAAAATTAAAAAAAAATCAAAATAAATACGAATTTTATAATTATTAAATCAAGTCAGATTTAAGACGAATAAAAATCCTCTCCGACCCGATTCGTTACTAACCATAATTAAAGGTTAACAAATCCTAAGCTTAAGATTCGTGGTGGGTGATCGAATGTCTTTCCACGTGTAAACCTTTTTTAATGTATCATAAATTTAAAATGCAATCACACAATTTTTTTTTTATCACTTAATATTTATTGTAATTACAGATAAACAAATAAGGTAATAAGAGTCATATTATTGTAATCATAGATTTTTTTGTTTTAATTTTTACAATGAAACCAATGGATAATTTGATATAATAATATTAATTTATGATATTTAAAATAAATTAGGATATTTTAATTTATATTTATAGTCTAAAATGATTTTTTCATATATTTTAATTATAACTCAAAATCAATATGTTATAAAATTTATAAATTATTTTAAAAAGTACAAATAACGATTTTTGCTTATACAATTAATCACTATTTATGTGATTACGATTCACACCTTAATTGCAATAAATAACGTTGACGAAAAACAACCTTACCGTTAAACAACAATTGCCATATCACCTCACGAACGCTATTTAAATCCATTATTATAACCGTAGCTTGCACCTTGCATGGAGACTCTCATTTGTCATGATTGCAGCCCAGGCCTTCAACATTTTCTGCATGTAGACTCAAATGATCTTGCTCCAAAACATGTCCATGACAGTACTGCTATTAGATGAGGCAACCAGTGCACCATGACAGTCGGTCAGAGAAAATGGTGCAGTAGGCATATTACAGCATGTTATGGTGGGGAGGACTAGTGTGGTTGTGGCACATGAGTTGAGTACCATACAAGACTCGTCGAATTGCTGCTTCCAAGAAGTCCGCAACTATATATTTAATTTTAAATTTATTAAACACGAATCATGTCTTAAAAATTGATTATATGAATTAATTAAGTTAATTTGAATAAAGGCGGTAGAGAAAGGTACTAATCAATCTTTGTTGGCAAAGGGACCCGCAAGAGCTTACTTCTGATTAGTCAGCCACCAAAGGAACCCAATCATATAATCTATACTAATTAAATGATAGTTCTAGCTTTGTTAGAAAACTACGATCCCTCCTCCTTTTGGCCTTTTCCTACCGATTCATTCATTTTCAGCAGGGAATCTGAAATGGTAGATGCCATTTCATGTAGTATATGACTATCAGACTATGAGCTTTGGACTTCATTTAGGGTTTTTTTTTTTTACCTTTTATATTGAAATGTAAAGAGAATATATAATTAAGATTCAATTGACAGCTATAGATCATGCATGACATTATTCTTTCAAGAAGTATAACTAAAGTAGCTGGTTGATGAAAACATTTTTAATGACTAATTAACTATAATTTCTTATTAAATTAGTAGCATCTCATTCATTAGAAAAGATATGTAAACTTTTCATCTAATCTAATTCCAGTAATTCGTGTATTTATGTAGTATTTATTTTGTGTCAAACATACATGTAAAACACAAAAATTATAGTGTCACAATTTTTGTGAATACACGATTAAACATGAAAAAAAATTTTTGTTTATATCAAACTCATATATAATTTTTTATTAAAATTTTAAATCATATCATTTTTATTTTTTTATGTCATCATTTCGTATTTAAAATTAAAAGACCTAATCTACCCAAAGGTAAAAATACTACAAGTTTCCGATGAGTGTCTTAAGTTTTAAATTAATGATATTGGTTTTGTTTATAAATCTGTTATGAATTGTGACAGTCCTTTATCAATAAAAAACTATGGAAGTCAACCATCTTGCTTAGCTCTTCCCTCGTGGTTTTCTTTTTTAATTGAAAACATGTATCTTATTGCAAGATCATTCCAAAACCAAAGTGCATGATTTGTTCCTCTAGTTTTGTTTCTTTCCTGGTGCTCAAGGTGTCATTTCTCAGGCTGAGAATCTGGCGCTGCTTTTTAATATCTCTTATATAGCTAATTGAAGAAGGAAAAGGAAACACCATGGCAGCTAAGAAAATGACTGGTAAAGATGTTGGAAGCCCTATGAAACAGAAGAAGAAAAATGGATCTATACGCTCCATTTTCATGCATGCGGATGGTATAGATATGTGGTTGATGGCTGCAGGCTCCATTGGAGCTATTGCTGATGGCACTGTTTCACCCTTGATAATATATTTGATAGGTCGTATGTTTAACAATGTTGGTGGAGCTAATTCAGCTTCAGCTGCTGATATGCTCACCCACAATGTTCGCGTGGTACGTTATTACTTAACAAGCTTTAATCAAGTAATTTTCTTTTGTACTTCAACGTTTCCATAGAATATAATATAGGATCCTTTTGGTTTGTTTCTGTGGGTGACAGGTTGCGCTGTCTATGGTTTTGACAGCCTGTGGGGGATGGGTTGGGTCTCTTCTAGGTGAGTTTGACAGCTTCTTTTGCTAGTTAGCTGATTCCAAGTAAAGGGAACTAGCCATATATTAATTCCTTTTGTTTTCCTCTCTAATTCTGGAATTTTTCAGAAGGATATTGTTGGACAAGAACAGGTGAAAGACAAGCTACAAGAATGAGAAGTAGATATTTGAAAGGTGTTCTAAGGCAAGATGTAGGCTACTTTGATTTGAACATAACTAGCACAGCTGAAGTAGTCACAAGTGTTTCCAATGACAGTCTCATAATTCAAGAAGTTATCAGTGAGAAGGTTGTCAATGCTTCTAAAATATTTGTCTTATCATTGCTTGATTGTGATTATATATGCTTAAACCATTTTTAACCCTTTTTTCGGTATTGAACAAAAATCTGCTACTTTCAGAACAGAAGGATTGACTTGAGTTGTATCTTGATTCACTTGTTTATTATGCATCAGGTGCCAAACATAATGGCAAGAAGCGTTACATTTATTGGAATATACATAGCAGCCTTTTTGATACTATGGAGATTAGCTCTTGTGGTTTTTCCTTTTCTTCTGCTACCGGTGATTCCTACTTTAATATATGGCAAAATTTTACTGAGTCTTGCAAGGAAGATTAGAGTGGAGTGCAATAAGGCCAGTACAGTAGCAGTGCAGGCAATATCGTCTATAAGAACTGTTTATGCCTTTGTTGGAGAAAACAAAACCACCATTAAGTTCTCCTCAGCTCTACAAGGATCTGTGAAGTTGGCGTTAAAGC